CTGAAAGTACATCCTCGATGAGATTCCAAGTCAATCCGAGTATTTTTAACTTTTCTCTAGCAGATTGATCTTCATCAGGTATAGTCTCATAAAAGTCCTTGGCATTAGATGCCCAATCTCTCAAGTTCATGGACATACTACTGAATATCTCCTTGGCTTCCTTGTATAGAATTTCTGCTTCTTGAATGTTATCAACTCCTGTAATAACATTATCTACATAAATATTGTTTCGGATGTTTTCAGCTGTCTTGCTTTCATATGTACTAAGGTGATGGTCAACAGTTGCCGCAAGTAAGAATGGACTTGAGATCACACCAAAAGGCACTCTGCAAAATCTGTACACTTGTACATTGCTGTCTACTGTAGCCTTGTTAGCATCCTTCAACCAGAAGAATCTAGTAGCATCACGGTCTTCCTCCTGTAAGCCAATTTGCAAGAACGCTTTCTCAATGTCTGCGGTTATTCCTATCTTCTTAAGTCTAAAGCGCATCAGAAGTCCACATAAATCATGCAGCATCACAGGTCCCCTGTGCAAACACTCATTCAAGCTGGTTTTCTTATGTCCTGACTTAGCCGATGCATCATACACAATCCTTACCTTTGTAGTAGGTTTGGTCAAATCTATCACTGCGTGATGAGGTATATAATGCTTAATACCTGTCTCTCTTTGTTGGGATGGAATTTTCTCTATAATTCCCTTTTTACACTGGTCCTGAATAATGTCATCATACTTGTGCAGTAAATCAGGGTTACACTGTAACTTGTGAAGTAGTGACTTTAGCCTTCCATATGCTAGTTCCCGATTTTCTGGTAGCTCAGGACATTCTTCTTTCCACGGCCAAGTGACTTGATATCTTTTGTTTTCCATTTTCAGTGTGCTGTTGAAATTTTTCAGCGCTTTCTCATCATCTGAAGTGTAGGGAGAATCTTGAATCCCAATAGTCTCCAGCTTCCAGAATTCTTCAATGGAAGGTTTAAATGTCAAGCACTCATCCACTGCAGAATGGAGGCAACACTCTGTCAAAGATAAAGTTCCATTGGTTATCATCATCACTTGCTCCTCCTCTTTACTGTAAGCTTCTTGGGTCCTTCCAGTGAGAATCCACCCAAGTCTGGAAGCTAGTAAATAAAATCCCTTTTGAATTTCAATTCTTTCTGGCAAAATCAAATCCAGGTAATAATCATTACCTATCAGAATGTCAATTGTTGAGTTTTCAAAATTCACTGGTATAGTGTCTGCTAACTGAAGATTTTTCCACAGACTTTGGCATTTCAGTTGTACGTCCTTGGGGATAGGCTTCCTTTGTACTGTTCCTGTAATGTTGGGTACAACATTTGCTTCAATACTAAGATAAAGTCTATCTTTGAGTTTCACTTTCAGGGAAACTTTGGGTGTCTTCACAATTTTTGGCTTCTCCGCACCAAAAGTTATGAGGGATATCTTCTCTGTCGTAAGAATCTTCAACTTTAATTTCTCTGCCAAGTTTTCTGTTATGTAGGTTCTCTGGGATCCTGAGTCCATGAGAAGTCTTGCTGGTTCTGTATTTTCTCCATTGTGGTTTGTCACCTCTGTTTGAGCCGTCTGCATCAAAACAATATCCCCTGATGATAATAAACTATTCTCAGAACTCTGAGAAAAGTTTGAAGTCTCTTGTTTGCTACACACTTCCTCGGTCAAATGTGAACTTTCTCTCTGACGTACAGAAAACTTCTTAGGACACAAACTTCTGTGGTGGTCACGAGTCTGTCTACAGTGATAGCATGCCTTATCCACTCTGCATTCCTTACTTCTATGACCAGGCTTTAAGCAAATAAAACACTTCCCTCTGAGTCTCTGTTTTCTATCCTCTACAGTTCTGTACTTTCTGCACTCATCTGTCCAATGTCTGCCCTCACAGAATGTACACACTGGAGGCTTCCCTGAAATTCCAGGCGATCTGCTTTGTCTAAATGATGAGTCCTTAGTGGATATCACAAGAGCTTCTGCTGTAGTATGCTTTTCCTCGTGTACAGGGACACTAGAGGCTTGAATTTCTGATGATTCCTTGACTTTTATGTAGTTTTTCATCAACTCTCTCAATTTCTGAACTGTCCATTTTTCCTTTGGCCCTTTCTGTATTTCAAGCTGGAGCAGAGTTTCTTTAGGTAGCTTTGATGTTATCATTGAGACAAACACATCTTGGTTCACATCCTGATGTAACGCTTCTAGGCTCCTCAGATGTCTCTCGAGGTCATCATTTAACTTCCGCAGGCTTGACGTGTCATTTGTAGCTGACTGTGTATTGATGAGTTCTACATAATGTTTGTTGATAACTGATTGGATGTCTCCAAATCTCTCTCTTAGAGTGGCAACAGCTACGTCATAGTTTTCATTTGAAAGTGAAAGTCCAGAAATAGCTTCTTGAGCTGCTCCTTTCAATTTGCTCTTTAGGTAATTAAATTTCTCTATGTTGGAGAGCTTTGGATTTTTATGAACAGTGGCCTCAAAGGCATCCCAGAATTCCTTGAACTTGATTTTGTCTCCACTGTAAGTAGGAAGTTCTAACTTGGGTAGTTTAACAGCTACCGGGCCCGTCATTGGAGTGTGTTGTTGAATCGACAACTCTTGAAAATGAAGTATCTGTTCCTGCATTCTCGTCTGTAAATGAATCATCTGTTCTAGTCTTGGGTCTGTCATTTCAGCAGGTTTTTTCAGCATTGATAGGTTTTCTTGTAGTGCTTTCTCTAGAATAATCAGCTGATCTGTGTGTTCACTCGCTTCGGTCAATAGAAGAAACACCTTTTCACTGACCTCACTAAATTTCTCTTCTTCACCTTGTTTGGGCTCTTTGTCTTCTATCGCCAATGACCACTTCTCCATTGTCTCTTCAAGTTTAGCACTGAATTCCTTTATACGTCTAATTGATGTTTCCACATTTTTTAGGAGAGCCGATGGATCCTCCTCTGAAATGTCTGCCGTCACAAATTCTTCACTCTTTTTCATCTCTTTATCTATAAGATTCCTGTACCTGGTACAGAGTCCCTTGAGATACGTTACTGACATTTTCTTTTACTTACTTTTAGTTTGGTTAACACAATACGAAAGCTTTTTCGTTCCCTCAACGGTCTCCCGGGTTCCGGCACCAATCAATGTGGCGACTGACTACTGATCCTGAATATAACACTGTTTTCTGGTTTCACATTTATTTAATAAACATGATAAACAAGCACATAAACATTCAACGATCTACCTTTCTATCTTCTGCTAAACTAACTTCCTATTTTCTCAACAACACAAAAGATAAACAAACGGACAAAAACGGAAACGGACTAAAAAATACACCATAAACTCTGACCTGACAAAAACGGACACATAAATAATTACACTTATGACATACAATAACAATGTCAGAAAATCATAATAAAATAGAAATGAATAGGAAATTAAACATTGTTAATGTTAACACATTCACAACAGCCGGTTTTAGACGCTTCTTGGTTTTCAATACAGAAGAGCGTCATACGAAGAAGCGGGAAAATTCAAAAGATTTTGTTTCAAAATCACTGGTAATATGTTTGTCAGAAATATTTGACGTTTTGGGTAGATTTTCGGTATAGTATAGGTATGCAAAGCATAATTAAAGTCTAATTCACAGTTAATCCACAGTATAATTATTCTTATAGTTACCAATTTTCCTGTTATTGTTACTTTCTAATATACTGAAAGCGTTTTACCCTGATGGACATATATTTTATCAAAGTTGACGAGGTTTTTTTTAGTTCTTTTCGTGGACTTTCATGTTATCAAAATGTGAAAGGATATTTTATTTTGCGCTATATTGGTGAGAAGTAGAAGCATTGTGCTATTCATAAGTTAAGCTTGATAATCAATTTGATTCGATTCGCAAGTATCAAAAATTAAGTAAAATTATTCCATTTTAAATATCCTGCATGTGGAGTTGACATGTACATATATATTTTGCATTTTTCACAATTGATTCAATATGAAGAAACAAACTCCACATTCGAACAATTTTTAAAACGAGACAAGTTATTGACAAATAAGTGGATGATACAAAACATCAGTCAGTCTTGTATAGAGTCAACGTACATTTCGCTAATTTTATGGTCGATGCAATTACCTTGTCAGTAAAATAAACTTCTTTTAGGTCGCATGTTGACATATTTTTTATTTAGTTAAATTCTTAGACATTATCTGTACACTGAAATGTATTGCACATTTTCCGTATGCCCAATCATGCCAAGGAGCATATGGCGGATATGTAAGCGCATGTAACAGGGACAATTTATTGCCTCTGCTGGGGATAGTAGTACTAATTTAATAATTTCAAGAGTAAAATTCGAAAGAAAAAGGCCTGTACATGAACATGACTTGTACCCTTCATTGAGAGCAACAGACATGATAAAAATGATTGTGGAAGTTGACGATGAGCCCGCCGGGAGGCTTGGTGTTTCTGTTTGTCATGAAGTTAGTTTGCCATCAACTCTCTATTCAATAAAATTAACACATAGTTATGAAACAGAATTTGCAGACCCCGCTGTTTGTTTACGTTTTTTTTGCCGGAGTTTACTGTTGTGAGAAGAGCTTGAACATCATCAGCGCTAAATGATAAAGCTTCACTGATGTCGAAATCCAGAGTTAGTTCTTTAATCCTTATCATGCAATGCCATGGAATGAACTGCTTCAAAATTGAAAGAGAAAAAAAAGATCTGCAGATGGAGCACAAATTGTGCCCTTGGAAATTCTATAAAAATGTCTAAAGACTATTCGTATGGATATTGTCTTCGCGAAGTGTTTAAAAAAAATAGTCAATTTACCGTAATAAAAACTGCTGAATACTATTGTAAGAATCAAAATGAGATGAAAACAACGAATTTTGTAATCATATGATATGAAATATAAAATTTACTTTTTATTGTATTGGGATTGACATAATTAAGTTGTGAACGAAAAATCTGACTTTGAAAATACAGTGACTGCATCAATGCAGGAAAATTACCTTATTTTCCATCTTGTTCAAGGCTGTATGTTTCAATGGCAAATAGTACAACTTGGCAAGATTCTGAACTCGAAAAACAGCGTATCTATGCATCTGTACTGTGACGTCACAATCACAACGAGATTTGTACCCTCCAATAAAATAATACCTCCCTCTTATTCAATAAACCAAACATTCCTTGTAAAATGTTATATAAATCAATTGCACCTATTAGGCTAAATAAAATTATGACATACAAGAACATAATAAATACTAGTAGGTACTTCATGTCGAACAATCTGGTAAAAAAGTTTAATACTGTATATATTTGAAAAGTTTAAATAAAATAAAAGGATACAATCTCTCTAGAACAAACATTATACTACCGGTATATTTTGTGGACGTCTGTTCAGGTACACTCAAAGAAGCGAAATATATGGGCTGTGTATTGAACTATAAACTATTCTGAGACTTGTCGGGGAGGGGGCGGGGGGTATAGCGGCTGGCGAATGAAAATCTTGACAAGACGGACCAAGATACTTTGTGGCTCTCTTCCTTTGAATGAAACATATGGAGATAACGAACTGTATTCAAGATCAAAAGTCCATAAAACAATACAAATTAGGAGCAGAGCAAACATGGACCTCCAAAACATCGGAGGTGGGATCAGGTGCCATGGAGGAGTGAGCATTCCCTGCCGACCGGTCACACCCGCCGTGTGCTCCTTGTCATGATTGGGAAATAACGGAGAAATCCGTCGTAAATTCAGTGTAAATAATGGACTAATAATTAGTATGAAAAACTTCAGTCAGCATTTGACCTAGTGATAAATGGTACAGTGAAAACTCTTTAATCCGACACCTGAATAATCCGATCGCGACACTGTGAATTCCGACGTTAAATTTCTTTCCCGTTTTAGTATTTTCCTTGTTTTGACACTATACAATCCGACACCCTGTCTATTCTGACACAAAATTCGTAGTGCATGTCGGATTAGACAGGTTTCACTGTATTTGCTGACAAGATCATTGTATCGACCATAGAACTAACGAAATGTTGACTTTAAACGAGACTGCTGAAATTCTTGTTTCATCAGCTTGTTTGTCAATAACTTACCTTGTTTTAGAAATTGTTCATACGTAGAGCCATCGTCGCAATCCACGGCCAAAATGTACGATCCTCTCCCATTCACATCAAGTTTTAATTTTTTTTTTACCAAAAGCTTTTCTGCGCCAGTATATTCTTGGGGATTTTTTTAGAATATATATTTTTTGCACGTTAAGCTTGGGACTCTTTATTGTGGCGAACCCTACCCCCGGGGGTCATGATTTGGAAAATTTAGAATCTACACTACCCCAGGATGCTTCCACACAAGTTTCTGCTTTTCTGGCCCAGTGGTTCTTGAGAAGATTTTTTTCAATGGCCATACCCTATCTGTGTCTTTTCTTGATTATCTCCTCCTGAGAGGGGACTTGGCCCTTCATTTTAAATAGCATTTTGAATTTCTTTTCACCCAAGAACGCTTGTACCAACTTTGGATAAAAATTGGCACACTGGTTCTTGCAAAGTTTACATATGGACTGATCGAACACGTGATCAGGAAATCTCACTTATATCAACTCATATCAAAACTCTCTACAAGAGACAAAAACAGATAGTATGAACTCGCCTGACTTGTGGTCTAATTCAAAATCATAGTTTGGACTACCCAGTATACTTTCCTCAACAAAGGCGGATACAGGGCCGGCGCCCCCCCCCCCCCCCACCTCCCTTTTGAAATTTTTGTATGTATGTAAAATTTATATACATGTACATGTATATCCATTATCCTAAAATCAAGGAAAAATCATGTATTTGTAAAAACTTTTCAGCTGCTGGGGGCTTCGCCCCCCGACCCCCAAAAGGACCTTGCCTTGGGCCTTCAGCACAGCAGACACACCCTCCTGCCTTCTACTGCGTCCTCCCATTACGAAATTCCTGGATCCGCCACTGTTCATCCATTTGGAAATGGTCAGATTGAGCATTTGTAGCAAGTTAGGTAGTGTGCATCGCTCTAGATACACAATCCAGATAAGTTTGGTCCAGGTAAGGCTTACTGATACACGTGAATGATGCTCTGAAAACATTAAGTAACCTGTTCATTCATCCTCAAAATGTAGGTCAGAGCTAGCATATGAAAATAGATGAGTGGTATTTTCCCGTAAACGATGCATATCAATGTAAGTTTATCAAGAAAGTTTTTAGAGCATAGTTACTACAGAATAATCCTGCTCCCAGACTTTAATTTAACCTGGTCACTCGTCCAGAAGATGGAGATCAGATCCAGCATCCAAACCCAGTCTGGCTGTGCCTGCTTCTACTACAATTCTAATACAGGGCTACGGCACAAACTCTCACAGCTGTGTAGGCCTTTCAACTAATTTTTCAAGTTGCACATATGGTAAAAAACATTGCATAGATAGATTTATAGGTACATGAAATTATCAAAAAAGATAATAACTTATGCATACATTTAATTACATCATTAAAAAGTTTATTTATTTATAATTGACTTTTCCGATGTTGTGTTTTAAGGATAGGTAACTCAGGTGTGAAAAATGACCAACTAAGTGCCGATTAATGAGTTATCGTTTATAGGAATGACATATAGACTGCTTCAGCACTGGTATTGTTATGTACACAAAAGGATTCCTTACATTGTTTTGTACACAAAAGTGTTGACCATGAGAAAGAGAATGCCTTCACTCTACCTGAAATAACAGGGTCAAATAGATGGGGAACAGACTATATTCAATATTTTAACTCTCTTTGACGATTATTATGAAGAAGAAAATTTCATGTCATGTTTTTTGTTTTCGCGCTTTTTCGCTTCCTATATAAATATATGTTTTTACAAGTAAATGCAGCAATTGATCATCTTACTTGTGTTACTAAGCACGAAGGGGAACGACCGAGTATAAAAATTTAATTAGGTTAGAACTAAGAAGGAGGGTAGATTTCACTTTTAATTTCAATTAAAACTTTTAATTATATGAAGTGAAAATGGTGAACGCAACTATACAGTAAATAAGTTTAACATTTGTGCTACATTTTAAAACCACTGGATTCTATTAAGAGCAAAGAAACACTTGGGAAATGCTAAAAACTGCCTTGCGTGTAAACAGTTAGATACCCCGAGCCTGCTCTCAACATGTTTCAACAGTGAGTTATCGTTCATAAAACCTACCCCTAGCGGCAGTTGAAAGGCCTAAGCTGTGATATAAGAAAAAATAACACAGGAATAGAGCCATCTTCTTAAATAAAACAAACACTTTTCTTTGATTTCAGATTTTATTTTTTTGCAATTTCTCCTTGAAATAATTGAACAATGTACCATGCTGACTTAATAATTTTGAAGACACTGCTTTAACATTTTCTGTATTCAACACTAATTTCATCTTAATACTTCAATGGCCAAAAAGAAACAGGTTGAACTTTAAATATGTGTACAATAATAAATTCCAAACAGATGTAAAACTGAGTATTTCCAACAGGATGCCAAAGTGTTTGTCACAACATGTTACTTATTTCATGCTTTATCTGCCCCTGTGTGTTTAGAAGGACAAGTTTGAGCAGGAGTGGGACACTTTATATGTAAAATTTAATGCACAACCTACATCTTACTTTAAATAAAAAAAAAAGAAGCCAAAACAGTACCATCTTATTTGTTTTCTGTTAATTTTTTGCATCCAATTTAATATTAGTGATACCCCTTCCCCTGTTCAAAATTCCCCCACCTATAAATTTTGATAAGAGAGACCAAAATCCTGCTCAGTTCTGAATATGTCCTTCTTCAGGTTTATTTTCTTTGTCCCACATTTTAAAACTTAAAACATACTTGTTAGTTTGAATATTCCTGGAAATCCATTCTGCCCTATTTATCGGCTCACACCTTTGATTTTATTTCATTCTAATGCACTTTAAAATTCATTTTTACAATCTCCATCAGGTAGAAATCCCAGGAAAAAATTTCCACCCACTTTCTTTTTCTGTTTTTCACATCTACTTGCCAAAAATATTTTCATAATCAAAACATACAAATATACTGAATTAACAGTGTATCAATACCCAAAGCCAATGTCACTTCATTGTTGGGGCCCCAATACCCAAAGCTTTTGTTACTTTACTGTAGGGGCCCAATACCCAAAGCTTTTGTTACTTCATTGTGGGGGCCCATTACCCAAAGCTTTTGTTACTTTACTGTTGGGACCCATACTGAACCCTTTTGTTACTTCATTGTTGGGGGCCAATACCCATAGCTTTTGTTACTTGATTATTTGGGCCCAATACTTGTCATTAATTCATACAGACCCTTATACTGGTTTCCAAAATTGGCAATGGTCACAAAAATAGCTTTATATAAATAAACATTGCAATATTATTTCTTTGTCAAAGAAAAAAAAAAGAAATTTGGTCATTGTAAAATTGAAGGAATGTAGCATAGCATAGCCTTCTTATAGTATTTGACCCAACTGCTGCAAAAAACTAAATAACTTCCTTGAATATCTTAAGACCTTTACATCCAAAAACAGATTTATCAAAAAGTTTCCTAAAAATATAGAAAAGATGTCAATGTGTACTTTACCTATATCTGTCTAAAAATGCCTCAAAATTATTGAAAACAAATTTCTCTTTCAGTTACCCCCCAAAAAAAACTAAATAGCACATATTACGAACACATTAACAGTCACACAAAGGGGAACAACTCAATATAGCACAGTCAACAAAATAAAGAAAAAAAGAAAACAAAGTGTTTTGGCATAACAGCGTCAGCTGTGTGGCTGACTGGTCTGTGTCACTGAGACTGAAATCTCTGGCAATATTTAGAAAGCTGCCCTTATTGACCAGTCCCTGTCTGGTAAAGTGGATCTGATGCCTGCCTTGTCACACACCATTTCTCTGGAACACAATCTCACAAAATAATTCAGAAGTCCGTTTCTTCCTATTTTGTCGTCAGAGTCCTTTTTGTTCAGTGTGTACGGTAGTATAAATGTGTTGAATAAGACACTTTCCATGAATTCTCGAATAAAAGTTTTTTCCGCATGCATCAACTCCAGAAATATATTTTCGCTCTCAGTTTTAGCACTGTTGTTTTGTTATGCATCATTATTATTTCACTACTGTGTACAAACATGTCAAATTTTTTATCTGATTTGTTGTCACGGTGCGTCGTATTTCCCCAGACTCCGCTGTCTTCCTCCTCAAGCAGAGAAAGGTTTAAGGCACAATTGTTCAAAATCACACGCTCACACGCAGACACACACACATTAGCTAACATACAGCAAATGTTCGTTTTGTTGTCGACAGCTAACAGTTAAACCCTGAGATCATCTGATACAGAATAAACTGGTGCTCCTGATGGCTCTTGTCTGGTATCCCCTATTCATTACTTAGTACAAATAACATACCCAGTCAGATCTACACTGACATGTTTGGCTGGGTAGCCTTTCCCATACGTTGTCGTATCTTACTGCTGGTCACATAGAAAGGCTTCACACTGCTGGTTCTGTCAAATGTGCTCATTCAGCAAGGCTTCAGTATTAACCCCTATGACTCATCTTTATTTTGTCATTTCTTCACTCTCCCCATTTTTTTTTGTTTGGTTTTTGCTATTTTGAGAAAACACCTTTGCTGTATGAGCACACTTTTTACATGGAAAAAAATTGCACATCCCTATTAAAAGTTACATAAAGTTGATTTGTGGTGACAGTGGATTTCAGATACAAAATTTGACTAGTTTACACTTACAACCTTGACCAGCATTCACTCACAGAATCACAAACTATTCTTTGTGGCTCAATTCTCCAGGAACTAAGCTCCTTGTTATGTACACAGATCAGAATACCAGTAGATTTGTGGGGGGCAGGGAATTCCCCCACCCCCCACTACACCTTAACTCTATACAAAATTGGAGGGAAATCTGTACAAATGAAATACTGCTAGGAGGAGAAGGCTGTTTTTGATTAAGGGAAGGTCCGACTTTGAATTGTCACTTTGTGACATGACAGTAAAAGATGACAGTGAATATAAATAATGTACAAATGTTCAGGAAGGAAGCTTGCATCCATAACTGTCTACATGCCATTATCAGAAGCTCATCACAATGTTTTTTCTCAAGTTCATCAAATCATTATTCACTTCCTTATCATGCTTATATCATTCAGAAACTCTGAGACCAATTTAGTACGGAAACAGTGAGTAGACCTCTAATACACACTTAAATATCCAAAAACACATTGCTTAAATATCAAAATATGCATTTCTTAGTTTCCAACAAATATAGATTCCTAATGATAATGGTGATCCTGAAGATCCTTACATAAGTTGATAATTTAGTTGCAATGCATTTAAAAACAACGTCTTTTCACTTGATTACGAATCAACCTTCTGACAATAAAGGAACACAAAAATAAGACATATGACAGATGCAGGCTTCCTTCTACACTGAGATCAACAGAAATAAATAGCTGATTCTTATGCAGACTCCACACTTTTGTTTTACATTTATCTGCACCAAAAATATATTACTCTAAAAGGGAAGAGAACAAGGATTGATGACAGATAAAAACTTTTTATTATGGGGATAAAAACTTGATTTATGGGGGTACAGGACTGCTATCAATATACACTCTTTAAATCATATGCAACCCTTGTCATAAATTGAAGGACTTTTTATCCCATAACTATTCCAGCTTTGATAAAAGGCACTGTGTCCTATACCATCTTCAGGCTTTTAATTTTTTTAACATTGCCATTATTCATAAACTCAAGAAATACTTTATTATCTTATGTCATCCAACTTATATACCTAAAAGTAAAAGTATCATAAATAAACATGTTACAGTAAAACTCAGTTATAACTAAGTCACAGGGACCCATGAAATTACTTCGCTATATCAATAATTCGTTATATCCCTATAAGGAGTTCATTAAATCTATATAGCTTGGGTTCCAAGATAACTTCCATACATCTGTGAATTCGCCATATCCGTGTTCGCACTAAACGAGTTTTACAGTACAATTTTTTTTTAATCTAGCATCAATCTTTGTTCTTTCCCTTTTTGCAACATATACAAATTTACAATTCATTGAACCTAAATCTACAATTTGCTTATCACCAAACTGTGTCAATTCTAAAACATTGTGACAAAATATGGTGAAACAATAGCACTGGTTACCTCCCCCTGCTGAACCCCTCCCTCCAACAAATAATGCCATATAAAATGAGAGATGAAAACACATGCTGATCATCCTTGATGTTTGTTTTGGTTGATATGTTGTTCCTCAAGGCTTTACAGTGAAAGTTTTTCAAGAATACAGATTATTTCAGCATGTTGTGACACAAAAATGAATGAATGCGATGACAGTGAAGGGTGATCCATTCTAGCGGGCTCCTCTCTGCTGTGAACTTTGATCTCCGTCTTCTTCGTTCACCATATGAAATTCTGCCACATAAAGGGACTTGTCTATGTTTTTGGGAATGGGTTTAATCTCTGTTCCCAGTTCACTTTCAATCTTGTGCAAGGCAAACCTGTCAAGGGTATGAATTTTATTATTCAGTAATTAAAAAATTGAGCTAGGCCTAAACAATCATCTGTGTGTCACAATCATTCAGTTAACCTAATATGTCACCTAAGGGTAGAGAAATAGACTTTATTTTCATTCTTCTTTCTGACTTCATCAGTGATTTTTCTACAATTTTTAAATGGGGCCTGGGCCTTTTCAATTGGGAAAAATTGTCGACATTTGTATTAAATTGGGAAAAACAATAAGATTGTTATTAATCTTCATATTGACATGTAAAATAAAATATACAAGTAAATGTAATATCTTTTATTAAATTTATTTGCTATAAAATTTTTCAACAAAATGAACACAGTTCTACATTTTTAATTTTCTTTCATTTTTGTTTTTTGATTGTCCTATATTCCATTTTTTGCCATAATGGTAGACATAATTGAGAAAAAATCATTCCAGCTTTCTCGTTTTTGCTCGCATTGGAGCTGGAATAATCTTGACACTATATTTACAAGCATGTATTTCTGTACAATGCTAGTATCTGCAGGATGAAGAAACAGTTTAATTTTTGTGAAATCAAGGAAGCTTGTTGTAGAACTACTAGTACTTGCAATTTACAAATGAAGCTATGTTTAACCGATTCACATGCATATTAAATTTCTTACGATATATTGACACACAAGTTTGACATCCACATGACCTGATCGATGTGTTTTTCCAAGTCTTGCAAACACACAAATAAACTGCTGTTTTTTGCCATTAGTTTAAGCGTCCGAATGACGTAAAACAATAGGGTTCCATTTTAGATAAGTCATACATAAAAAATTCAATATAACCAAAACAATACGTTTTGATTTTGGGAAAAAAGCAGTTGAAAATTGGGAAAAAATCGGTAATTTTTGAGAGGGGAAAGGGCCGATATTCGGACCTAAGTTGTGTGTAGAAAAATCACTGTTCATGGACAAGAAATATTGAGAAGCTATAACTATAAAGTCAGTCAATAGAGAGAATTTTACCTGTCGTCATAGGTAATGAGATTGATGGCCACCCCCAGGTGTCCGAATCGCCCTGATCGACCAATTCTGTGGAGATACGTCTCAGCGTGTTTTGGGAAGTCAAAGTTGATGACAACATTTACTGCCTGAATATCAATACCTCTGGTGAACAGATCTGCAAGAAAAATTTACACAGGTATTTTTTGTTCAACAATGTGTCAAAGAGAGTTTATATACTGTGCAAAGGGAAATTTTCGCCCCCATTTTATTTTCGCCCATTTACACATAGGTAGGCCAATTTAAAACAGGGCGTATTCAAAAAACACAGCATAATTTCTTAAACAGAATTATGACTAAGTGAATTTAAAACAGGGCAAAATTGTTTGGAAGTTTGAAAAGATGAAAATAACACGAGGCGAAAACATCCCTATACAGTATATAAATGTATAAGTTAAGATGTAATCAAATTGTGGGTTTACCTTTGCTGCATACCAAGAACCTACACAGCCCGTTTTATACCTTATCTAAACATGCAAATTTCCACAGTCCCTTTATTTTACCCTACCTTAGTTAATTTTTTAGGAAACAGAGAGGGGTTTTACTTTTGCGATGGGGCCCATATTTGGCCCTACACGGGGTAGTGGAAAATTCATTTTCATCCTACCTGAACACACTAAGTTCCTACAGAGTCCCTTTATTTTGCCCTACCCCTGAACACAATAAGTTCTTACACAGCCCCTCTATTTTGCCCTACCTGACCACACTAAGTTCTTACACAGCACCCTTTTTTAGCCCTACCTGAGGCCCTTTATTTTGCCCTACCTGAACACACAAAGTTCTTACTCAGCTCATTTTTTGCACTACCTGAACACACTAAGTTCCTTCACAGCCCCTTTTATTTTGCCCTACCTGAACACACTAAGTTCCTTCACAGCCCCTTTATTTTGCCCTACCTGAACACTCTAAGTTCTTACACAACTCCCTTTTTTGCCCTACCTGAGGCCCTTTATTTTGCCCTAGCTGAGGCCCTTTATTTTGCCCTACACAAGGCCCTTTATTTTGCCCTACACAAGGCCCTTTATTTTGCCCTACCTGAACACACTAAGTTCTTACACAACTCCCTTTTTTGCCCTACCTGAGGCCCTTTATTTTGCCCTAAGCGAGGCCCTTTATTTTGCCCTACCTGAACACACTAAGTTCCTACACAGCCCCTGTCTGAAGTCATGGAATACTCGGTTTCTGTGCTGCTGGTTCATCTTGGCATGGATATAAAAGCAAGAGTAGCCCAGCTCAGTAATCTTCTTAGCTAGGAGCTCAACTCTTTGTGTGGAGTTACAGAAAATAATGGACTGGTTAATTTGCAACTGAAACAAAAATGAAATTTGTAAAACACTGATCACATTTTATGGTGGCTAATGGCCGTTTTTTTTTTTTTTTTTTTTTTTCCAAAAGTATGTCAAACCCTAAGATAAAAAATATTGATACCCAAGGAAAGGCCTTGTTCTTTTTATACCTTTGAGAATAAAGTATTGAGACAGTGGACTTTCTGTTTTTCCTACCTTTGAGAATAAAGTATTGAGACAGTGGACTTTCTGTTTTTCCTACCTTTGAGAATAAAGTATTGAGACAGTGGACTTTCTGTTTTTCCTGGACAAAGGCGTAATACTGGGTCACTCCCTTCAGAGTTAGTTCGTCCATCAAGTTGATCTCGTACGGATTATTAAGATGCTTCCTCTGTAAAATAACACACACAGGTTATAGACTGAAGACATGTAGAGGAAAGATTAAACATGTAAGTTAGAGACACAACATGTACAAGAATGATTTCCGTGTCTTATACGATCTTGTCAGAAGTGGTTAAAATGTCTGCATTGAATTTCTCAGAAGCAGAACTGGTTTGAGTTTCATCACACCAAGATCATGTAATCTTTTAAAATTAATACTACTTCCATTATTGTAAAGATCAAAGGACCACATTATTCTCTAATATAAATTACCAACACATTTAATTCAGTTTTCCCTAATTTTGACTGCTGCAGTTATGAAAAGATTGAGGCATCCTTTGATTCAAAAAGTGACAAAATTGGTGAAAAAACTTTGGATTAAGATCATGTCTCACTTATTCTAATGCAATTAGTGCAAATGAAGAGGAATTGCAATCAGATGTGACCTCACAAGACATTTCTGTTGATGTTTAAATCTAATTTCTCTATTAGAGGATTTAAAGTTTGCAGAATAGAAATTATTTCCTTGCCACTGTATTTGTTGAATAATAAACCCTTGTCTTGAGATTAACTGACTTGTAGAGTCAACGCAAAGTAATTGTTGATGTAAATTTTATATATTCAATAGACAAGTTTTGTGACACAAAACACCTTAATAATGAAATGGATCTGACATTCATTTCACTTACACATCTTCCTGTTTATTTAAATGCAGGGGCTTGGGGTGTAAGGAGGTAGGATATTAAATCACTAAAAAACAAGAGGCCCATGGGAAGCTTGTGACAATTCTGTCCTTTACTAGGATTTATTAAATGACCCCACTAAAAAAAAAATTTTGAGAGAGAGAGAGAGAGAGAGAGAGAGAGAGAAAGAGAGAGATCTTTCAATATGATTTTTCCTATATATTTCATTAAATCTGTTTGGGTTTTTGTTTTCTTACAAATTAAGGATATAGCTGTAAAATAATCAACACAAGTTCATAGTAACTTCTTTATGTCACCTGGATCTTGTCAGAAGTGGTTAAATGTCTGCATTGATTTTCTCAGAAGCAGAACTGGTTAGAGTTTCATCACACCAAGATCTCTATCATTTTGTTTCCATACGCAGTATTTGTCATTAACTTTAAACATTTAAAAGACTGCATTACAAAGGATTGTAACTTATGAATCAGATCCCAATTTAAGCCCCCATATTGTGCCGACAAAATTATTTAAGAATGTATTTGCATGTTTTGTTCATAAGGAAAATATGATGTTGTTAAAATCTACAGTATTAATTAATTCCTTGCTCTTGTCCACTTATTAGAAATTACCCCATTGATATGGACATTGCTATGGTCAAAGTGGAAGCAGTTTTAAAATTTATTCCATGAAGTGCATATGGGCATTTAGATCACTGAACACTCAATCATATTAAGACCCTAATTATATCTTTTAAATCCCCCCTCCCATCAACCTCACTTTAAAAATTACAATAATGTATTCCAAGACCCTGTCAGAAGTGGTAGGTGTCTGCATTGCTTTCCTCAGAAGCAGAACTGGAAGAAGTTTTCATCACATCAAGGTCTATAGAATCTTAAAACTGCATAAACACCAATAGCATTAAGCATACCACTCGAAGGTGATTGAGAAACTACATTATGCATGTACCATGATGTGGTGTTCTTGTTGAATACATTTTTTTTTATGTACAATAAAGCTTGTGACAAATCTAAACATCATTCCTATTGACTTTTGAAAAACACAGTCATATCATTACATCTGTGTAATACTGAAAAAGAATCCAATACCATTTTATTATGACACAAGTAACACACCCTAGTAAGCTTCCTCCTATTTCTATCTACAAGGTTTCATTTTAGACAATAAGGTTACCGGAATTCTTTGTCACAAACGTTAAATTTTGATTGAGTCATGTTAAAAGCTTTGTTTATAATTTACCTTTACATAAACATTTCTCAATTTTTTTTATCAAGAAAGAAAGAAGATTTTTTTTATGTCTTATATGTCTATAAGAAGCATAAGACAAGTGTGGCTTACTATTTGTTCTAAAAGATACTGTATGTGTACATAAATTGGAGTATTCAAAATTTGGCACAATCGCTGGTTATTTTGTGGTTAGCGTATTCATGAATTAGCGCTATACTCCTCAGTGCTATGTACTGTACATATAAATGATTTATTAACGGTATTCATGAATTTGCACATTGTTGACTGCGCCAAAATATGAAGCTCGCTTTCTGAAGTACAAGTACAGTAATATGTCTATGTTCCTGAAGGAGACCTTGTCAGAAGTGGTTAACTGTCTGCATTTTTTTCTCAGAAGCAGAACTGGTTAAGGTTTTCATCATGTCAAGAAATCTCCATCCCCATCAACAGTCACCTCTTTGTTGACATGGAACTGGTTTGACCCTCAGTGTCTGTACATGCATTCAGTACTGAGCATATTATCTCCATTTTGACACTCACCATGAATTGTTCCACAGTCAAAGGAAAGGTAGCCGAGTACAGGAGAATCTGTCGGTCTGGTGGGAGATGGGCGATGATGTGATCCAGCATTCCTTTAAAGTCTTGAGACAGCAGTTTGTCAGCCTAAAATGTAAACCATACTTAATATATATTGAGTGTATAGTGAAGTATGCTGACATGACCTAAAACAAACATTATACATGCTTGTGCTGTACAATAAAATTTTTGTAAGAATATTAGTTATCGTTTTACAAAGGCACTCTATTCACTTTTTTAACAGAAACAGCTAATGAAAATATTTTCTTATGAAAGGCTACAATAAAATACAACATTGTCAATCTCCAAACAGAAAAGTTGTGGAATCAAAGAACCCTACTGTGTCCAACTCTTGACAGTAAAGTTATTGGAATAAAAAAACACTACATTACTGAAGGCTTAACAGAAATGTTCCTTGTTATTTATACCTCATCCAGGACCAGCATGCCACATTTACTGATTTTGACTAGATTTTTATTCATCAGGTCCAGGATTCTGCCAGGGGTGGCAATGATCACATGTACTGAAAAAATAAATTATTGTCAATTAGCACAATCTACTGTATTAAAAACTCTACAGCGATTTTTCTACAATTTTTAAAAGGGGCCTGGGCCTTTTCAACTGGGAAAAATTGTCGACATTTGTGTCAAATTGGGAAAAACAATAAGATTGTAATTAACCTTCATGTTGACTAGTAAAATAAAATATATAAGTAAATGTAATATCATTTATCAAATTTATTTGCTACAAAATTTTTCAACAAAATGGACACAGTTCTACATTTTTTAATTTTCTTTCATTTTTGTTCTTTGATTGTCCTATATTCCATTTTTTGCCATAATGGTAGACTTAACTGAGAAAAAAATCATTCCCGATTTCTGGTTATTGCTCGCACTGGAGACGGAATAATCTCGACACGATTTACAAGCATATTATTGCTGTGTTTCTCCGCAATGAAGAAACGAATGAAGAAAGTTTAATTTTCGTGAAATCAAGGAAGCTTGTTGTAGAACTACTAGTACTTGCAATTTACAAATAAAGCTATGTTTAACTGATTCACATGCATATTAAATTTCTTACGATGATTGACACACAAGTTTGAGATCGATTTGTTTTTCCAAGTCTTGCAAACACACAAATAAACTGCTGGTTTTTGCCATTATTTTAAGCGTCCAAATGACCAAAATCAATAGCGTTCCATTTTAGATAAGTCGTACATAAAAAATTCAATATAACCAAAACAATACGTTTTTGATTTTGGGAAAAAAAGCAGTTGAAAATTGGGAAAAAATCGGTAATTTTTGAGAGGGGAAAGGGCCGATATTCGGACCTAAATTGAGTGTAGAAAAATCACTGCTCTAATATGGAATCTGAACACAAGACTGAAATATAGTGTTGATAACTTAACAACAGTTTTAATGAAAAAAGGTACTGAAGACTTGCATTATTCTGCAAAACAGTCTTAAGAAATTGGAGCATGTTTTGAAAGGTATAAATAGGGTAAATCTAGTTCTTTGACAAACCTGGTTCGTAGAGCCTCATGATATCGTCTTTCAGATTGGTCCCCCCTGTAGTCACCATTACTTTGAGTCCTAAGTGTTTACTGAGCTCAATACAGATCTGACTGGTCTGGAGGGCTAATTCTCGAGTTGGCACAATAACTAAAGCTGGAATATAAAACAAAAGTATCCTGCTTGAGAGTGTTTGGTTTGTTTTGCTGTATGTATACATTGCAATAAAAATGCAACAAGAGGCCCAGGGGCCACAGCGCTCACCTGAGCACATCAGGCTTGAATTTACTCCACCCCTCCAGGCGTTCATCATTTGAACAAACTAGAATCTACACTACCTGAGGATGATTCCATATAAATATCACAAGTCATAGCTTTGAAGTACTTGAAAAGAAGATTTTAAAAGGTTTCCCTATATATCCCTATGTAAAACTTGGGTCGGCCATTTTGGCCCCACCCTAGCCCCGGGGGTCATGATTTGAACAAACTTGAATCTACACTACCTGAGGATGATTCCACATGAGTTTCATCTCTCCTGGCCCAGTGGTTCTTGAGAAGAAGATTTTTAAAGATTTTTCCTATATATTCCTATGTAAAACTTGGGTCGGCCATTTTGGCCCCACCCTTGCCCCAGGGGTCATGATTTGAACAAATTTGAATCTACACTACCTAAAGATGATTCCACATGAGTTTCATCTTTCCTGTCCTAGTGGTTCTTGAGATAAAGATTTTTCTTATATATTCCTATGTAGAACTAGGGTCGGCCATTTTGGCCCCACCCTTGCCCCAGGGGTCATGATTTGAACAAACTTGAATCTACACTACCTGACGATGATTCCACATGAGTTTCACCTTTCCTGGCCCAGTGGTTCTGGAGAAAAAGATTTTTAAAGATTTTTCCTATATATTCCTATGTAAAACTTGGGTCGGCCATTTTGGCCCCACCCTTGCCCCGGGGGTCATGATTTGAACAAACTTGAATCTACACTACCTGAGGATGCTTCCACATGAGTTTCATCTTTCCTGGCCCAGCGGTTCTGGAGAAGAAGATTTTTTAAAAATGCCATAAATTTTTCACAAATTCATAATTATCTCCCCTTGGAAGTTCTTTGGGGGCGTGGCCCTTCATTTGAACAAACTTGATTCCCCTTCACCCAAGGATACTTTGTGCCAAGTTTGGTTGAAATTGGCCCAGTGGCTCTTGAGAAGAAGATGAAAATGTGAAAAGTTTACGCCGACAACGACGACGACAGATAACGGACAAATTTTGATCAGAAAAGCTCACTTGAGCCTTCGGCTCAGGTGAGCTAAAAAGACAAGTCAATGAAGATGCATTGTTATATAAATTTTTCCTACAAAATTTTAGTTCAAGAAAGTTATCAACTTTTAAATAGAAGGGCAAACACAACATTCCCCTTCTCCTAAGTATTTAGTTCATTTACCCTTAGCAACACTGTAATTACGTGTAATTCAGTAATTTACACACAAGTATACCATTTCATTATAAAAACTGTGGTCCCCCAGTAGGCAAGACTTACATTGAACTTCATCTCGGCTTGGGTCTGCCTTTTCCAGAATTGGAATAGTGTAGGCCCCGGTTTTTCCTGTGCCATTTTTAGCGCGAGCTAGAACGTCTCTTCCGGTTAATGCGATAGGAATGCTGGCCTCCTGGATTGGGGAGGGTTTCTCCCACCCCTTCTCAAATATCCCCATTAGCAGTTCTCGCTTCAAACAGAAGTCCTCAAACTCGTTACCTTTGGTGTTTGTCACATCCTGAAAGGAAATGGAGTACTTTTATATAAGTTCAATAAGACATACTAAACATTTTTTTCTAATGAGGCCAACTTTAAACTTAATGTTTGCTTTCCCTCTTTCAACTCAAGAGTTATTTTGGGAGAAAAGAGAGAGAGAGAGATAATTTACTGTTGCAATTTTAAATATCTTACTTTAAATATGATTTATAATTAATTATAAGATTAAAAAAAATTGATGTTAAACATTTCTACAGGGTGTATACCAAGTGTATTGTGGTTCTCAAAATCTCGCATCGAATCTACATGAATGACATCGCGATGAAATGTCAAGTTCAATATACATGTTCATTACAAGTAAAGGGACATCCGTGTTTTAACTTGAAATGACCATTTGAAGATGTGTTGCTCTAATTATTTTTTTATAACTTTCAGGCCATTTTAAACACCTTCATGCTATACCAGGAGCATATTTATTAAATCACTTCCTGATGTGAAATTAGGTCGGGGACTAAAACACCAAAACACTCAAAAAATAAGTCAAAATTTTTTTGCAGATGGCCTGAAGATTTTTTTTTAATTAAATCTTAATTTAATAATTATTAACAACTAACACTATAGTAACAATAGATAGTAAAAGGAACAACATCTAAAGTAAATGTTTTTTATGCATTTTTGACTAGATTAAGCCATGAGGCTTGATATTAATCCTTCTGACAGACTTACACTGGTTTTAACTCTGTGGTCCTTAGGAGGGAGATTAAGTTTTGCTTTCCACCCAGAGAGATCTCTGAAAACAGAAAGAGAGTATAAATACATACATCAAAGTAATTTTAAAATTAAATGTGAAATATGACACCTGTAATGATGAGCTATGGTAAGATAATTAAGAGAGGGACATCATAAGAGATAAATCCCCTTTCACCTCTTGACATCACAAAAATCCTTGTTTAACTCATTGGGTTAAGCCAAGGCTCGGGGATAAAATCCACACAACTTGTTGGATAAAAATCATATCCAACTACAAATCATGTGAGATCCTATATGTAAATAACTACTTGCATGCTTACTTGCAAATTTATGTTTTATATAACAGGTTGGGACCAATCGCCCAAATGGGATATAATAGTCCGTTTGGGATATAATATCCCAAATGGGCTATAAATTTACAGTGAAAAAAATGAAATTTTTTATTTTGGCTATAAATATCATAAATCCGCATCAGGACACTTAAAAAGGAATAACTTTTGGTTGACAAGTTTTCCTGTATGCCAACAGTTTAGGAGATTGATCCCTCGGAAGTTCCTTAACTTCTTGGGGATCAATCTTACAAACTGTAGGGTTACAGAAAAACTTGCTTACCAAAAGTTATTCTTTTTTTTAAGTGTTTTGATGCGAATTTATGATATTTATTGCCAAAATAAAAAATTTCAATTTTTGCACAGTAAATTTATAGCCCATTTGGGATATTATATCCCAAACGGGCTATTATATCCCATTTGGGCGATTGGTCCCAACCTGTATAAGTGGGCCCCTAACTCCTAAGTATTTTATAGCCAACAAGGTGAGTAAAAATAATTCTTGAGAATGTTTAAACCTTGTTTGACTGTACTTTAAACATACCACTTTTGTGGAATCAGACGGCGTAAATAGAAGCCCCTTACCCAGTTTTAGCATCTGTCGAATTGGCATGGTTGCCAGAATTTTGCTCAACTGTAGCCGAAGCCATGGTTACATCCACCAATATTTTAAGTAGGTGTTGTGGTTGTTCAAACTATGAATTTGTCGAAAACATGAAACTGCAAAATAAAGTATATGTACATTATGTCATTGCAAAAATGATAAATAAGAAAGCTAAGAGTGGCATTGAATGTTGAGATAATTCGGGCTACAATCTGGATCGTCAACAAAGGATACAAAAGAATTGTGCCAAATGTCTTGAATAAACAAAATATACTTCTAGTGTAGACTAAAAGAAAGCAATACGCTGGAGAACCGTTAACCCAACCTTCTTACTTTTACAAAACATTCTGACAGTTTTCAAATTTTTAATGTTGATTTCTAAGAAAAATATCCAAGATTCATGGGCATATATTATTTCGATATCAATTATTTTCATGAAATACATCCTTAATTCGGTAGAATAATTATCGCTTCTGCATTTATCGGATATTTTATTCTTATCAGACAACCACATAAACAAGATGACCAAAGATTCTAACAGTACCCTTCCTCACAGAAAAATCTTCTCTGACGGCCGGAGTCGGTAGGATTTGCGCAAGACAGGAAGTCGTTTTGTTTATGTTTAATAAATAAACAAAAACTTGTTTTTCTATAACTGTCAACATTTTTAGCCGTTAATGTTATTGATTGCAATTAATAAATCAATTATTAATAAAAATACATATATCGATTTAACCCTCGACCCTTGGGGTTAAAGGTCACTAAAGTTTGATCAACAACGAAGTTGTGCATGTTCTGAATCCTGAAAATGAGAGTCAAGACCAAAGTGCTCTCGTAGCAAATGTAAGGTAAACTTGAGCACGGTAAATTCTTGTCGACTTTGCGATATTGAAGTGCATATGAAGTAATTAACTTAAGGCTAAATCCCAAAAATGAATAGAGAAATATCCAGGAAAGAAAGGGCACGTGAACTGTGAAGTTGTCAGTTGTGTAATTAATTTCTCTCACAATGCCAATGTGTGGGAATAGAGTTTTGATATTATTTATACTGCAGTTTTTTTAGTAGAACCACAGGTGCTCGTCACTACTTCATTGTCTTCTAATTTGACCACCTCGAGGTGGTCAGCGAATGAAAGAGAGATCAAGTTCCATGAGTGGCATGACATTTTGGTTTTTTATATGGTTGTTTTTTTTTAAAAGGTGTATATTTTATAGCATAAGGGTGGTCAAATTTACAGAGGACAAATAAGTTACAAGCCCATATGGGTTGTGTCAGCCGGATTTGATTCCCGGTGGCCAGATGTCTCAGTAGAGCACCTGACCCGAGTTTCAGGGGGCCCGGGTTTGAATCCCAGTCTGGTCCACTGCATTTTCTCCTCTCCCATTACTTTGGTGCCGTGCCATGCCCTGACAGGTGAGAGGCCTGCCAGGGAAGAGCCTGGGTTGGGGTCTTTGGAGGGCCAAAGACCTTTAAGGAGGGAGGAATGTGGCGGTCAGCCGGGTTCGATTGCCGGTGGCCAAATGGCTCAGTTGGTAGAGCACCTGACCAGAGTTTCACGGAGCCAGGGTTCAAATCCCGGTCTGGTCCGCTGCATTTTCTCCTCTCCCGTTACAAAAGAATGCAGGGGCCTCTGGTAGAACAAAACACCCATGTGCATATTTTGGGTTTATTACCTGTAGGCCAGGAGCACTAACTAAATTTACAAGTTAAACGTAATATCCAGCATTCATATATTATTTTAAAAAGTAGTAATAATTTATAAATAATAAATATGAATATTTTTAATTCACAGCAGGTGACTTGGTTTTGTATTCTCCCCCTAATCCTATCAGAGACACAGTGAGAGATGGCATCCTCCAAGAAACTTGTACTGACCAACGACAGTAAAAGGAATGAAGTTCTTCTAAAAGACCGGGTTAAGGAGGTAATAACAGGTCAAAGGTCAAGGTTCAAATGTCAGAGTTATGAAGTCAAGTTCAAATGATAAGAATTGGAAGTTTCAATCAATATATTACCAGCTAGATTTCAAATTAATTGATTAACTTTTTCAGTGAAAATGATAGCAGTATATTATTAATATTATAAAACAACATAAAAATTTAACAATAATGAAACTGAAATTATGATTGCTGTACAGTAGTATTTCAGACTTTTCAGTGGTTCAATTTTTGGGTGATTTAATTTTATAAAGTTATATTTCACTATACCAGGTACTTTATAATCCTAATTTCAATACTGCTACATGTATATTGAATTGGGAGTAATTTATGATAAATACACACTAAGTTATCTTTTGCATAAATATTCTCCATAAACCAATGCATGGAAAGCTCTGTACAATTCATGTTGCTTATCTATATACACAGTAAAAATCAATTGACAATAATGGTAATGTTGTATATCTTCTTTTAGTTAGAGGAGGAAATCGTGGGTTTGAAGAAAAGGTTAGAGGATCTCAGGAAAGCTAAAAATACCACCGTCCTAAAACGGGAGAGAGAAATCCTGGAAGTGGGCACTCCGTTTGGAAAAAGGTATTTTATGTGAATTAAGATACAGTAAATGAGGTCATATATTTCATAATCAACAATGACAATTTGTGAGTTATAAATGGATAGTATTAGATAATTAGATTTAAAGATAACAAGACAGCTACTTCTTAAAAGAATATAATTAGTGTCAATAGTGATATGCATTTATTTTGATGCATCAATAGTGAAATGCAGATAAAAGCAATAATTGTTAAATATGAGATCTATTGTACATCTTTAACATTTTCATATTTTCTTCTTTAAAATATGCATTTCACTTTGTATATGTGTGAATCTTATTGTTGCATAAGATATGTAATTCATTGCTACACCTAGTAGTCTTCTACTTTGTTACTATGTAAATTATGTAGGTAAGATACCAGTAATTTTGTGACTCCATTGTTTATAAACAGGGATAGTAAGCCTACAATCACCGCCCCTCCCCCTCCCCCGGCCGCCACCAACAAAGTCCCCGCAGATTTTCAGAAGAAGTTAGATGATCTGAAGGCTCAGCTCGCAGCCGCGGAAAAAAATCACGACGCCCAGATAAAGGAAGCGGAGACCAAGCTCTCCAATGTACAGGGAAACAGTTCTAAAGAAATGGACGATTTACGCAAACAGTTTGCTAAGGATATGGAAGCTGTAAAGAAAGCAATGGAACAGGTCTTGTACAGCTTTATCATAAGATTTACCAATTAGATACACTAGTACTTAAAAGGATGGAAATTCCTAAAGAAATACAAGATTCACAGTGGTGCTTATTGGCCCTGCTAACTTTAGACATTCTTTGTGATTAAAGTGAAGATGCTTCTAATTCTTATACATGTACATGTAATAACTGCCCATCTGGGGATGAAATAACTTTAAATCTTCGGGTTTATCTCTACAGCAAAACTTGTTTAGTATGAACACGGATATTGCGAATTTACTGATATAGTGAAGTCATCTTGGATCCCCAGCTACATAAATTTAATGAATTTCTTATACGGTTATAACAAATTACAGATATAGCGAAGTAATTTCATAGGTCCCTGTGACTTCGTTATAACCGAGTTTTGCTGTATTGAAGAAATAAATTTTGATTGGCTAATTTTAGGAATTGGAATGTGGTCATCAGCCAATCATTGAAGCTTTACAGCATCAGCTATTGGAACTACAGGCAGATAACTCAGCCTTGTTAATGGAGAATAGCGATCTCAAAGATAGAGTTAACTCCCTTGTGACGGAGCTCAGCATCAAAGAGGCGTCATGGTGTGAAGCTGAGGAAAAACTCAAAATTGAGGTGAGAAGACGATATGTTAGGCATACATTGATTCAAAGAATATAAAATGAAAGTTCTAAAAATTAACTCTTTTATTTCAGCAGTTTTTTTGAGCGATTGCAATTATAATGTGTCAGTCTTTGACGGATTTACAATTTTGTCAGATTAATTGTGAAATTTTGAATTTAAAACAAAAATTTAGATAAAAGTAAAAATTTTTAAAAATAAGCTTAATAGTTATAATTTATGTTAAAAAAGTAAAAAGACATGAAGTGCAGTACGGCCATAGGCATGAAGCGGCGGTGCCTCTTGTTCTTTGATTAGCTTAGTTGAAGTAGTTTTTGTGGTAATTAAGGTTCATCTCGGAATTTGAGTACACTTGGTTTCATGTTGGGTTCTATGGCCAACAGCACTTCAATCAATATGCCTGATAAAATGCTATTTATAGAAAAGCTTTACAAAGAATAATATGACAATATTTTGAAATTTATATTATTATTTCTAAATATTTGCTAAAAACCTTAGAAAATCTTTAGTAACCTTTTCTTTATATATAAAATCGTCACATGCTTCACCTGTTATTTTATCTTGTTAATGTAAGATTGTTCAGGGTTGCCTTGTCTTTAATTCCTTTTTGAAATGATAGTTACACAGGTAAAAATCTGTGAAAGGGAAATAATCACTAAATAGAGCATTTAATAGTGAAAGTAGGAAATGTGAAACCAATGAATGGCAAGGCAATCATAACATGTACACTACAGCTGCATGATTATTTAATGTGGTGATTGTTTTTGAATCCTGTATTGCCTCTCTGCCTCTCTTTGATTGATCATGATTTATTTATTCCACTGGACACCTTGACAGTTAAACAAACAGTGGGGTGAAAAGTACAAGGAGTGGATGGAGAAGACCGAAAATAAAATCCGGGAACTTCAGGAGGCCAACACCATGTTGTGAGTGTCAGGGGAGGCTACTCCTACACAGTGCAAAGGGAAACAATCACAACAGGACAAAAACTTTTATAACTGAGAAACTGAATATAGAGCTTTATTAGGTTGTCTCCTTTATAAAAGTTTCTGGCATGCTGTGGTTGTCAATATGGAATGAAATAGTAGCTGAAGACATAATTTGGTTGAAATGCACATGGGATATGGAGAAAAATTAATATTTTAAAATGCGCTGATTGGTTTCTGTGAATTATGATCTACTGAATCATTAAAGAGGGTGTTGCAGTTGTTATTTTCCCTAAATGTGTAGTAGATTAAAAGAGGAATTTTTATGTTGCAGAAACTCATATTAATATTTTTCAAATACAACAATATGTAAAACACAACGAGAAACATTTGGAAGCTGCGTGTTGACTTCCAATTTGCCTTTAAATGATGTGAAAATTAGTCTCATGGCAAAATAAATCAGATTTTCCATTTTTTAGATAGGGAATCCCCATTGTTCTGAAAAAGTGCCTCCTTGAAACAGAATAATTTTGATATTTACACAGCGAGGTAGGAATTTTCTTCAAAACTGCTATTTACGATTTTTGTTTCAAAGAGGCGCATTTTTGAAAAACGCAGAAATTGAATAAAAATTATTCTCCAAACGAAATGCAAAATATGTACATTAAATAACACTAGAAAACCATGTGTCCGAAATGGTCTAGTAGATATGCTGGTGGGCTTCTCATTAGTATTTTTACCGGAGAATGGGTTTGAACTCTGGAATGGATCATTTTTGTATATTTTTTTTCCCATATGTTATGGTAGTGCAATGAAATTATATATATTTTAATAGGGGGGGGGGGGGGGGAAGAACGAGAATGTGAAGAAGTTAATTGAGTAATAACTAAATATTAGAAATGCAGGATTAAATTGTTTTGTTTTTTTAATATGCTGTGACTTAAAACTAATGCTTTATTTAGTTTTGTCTTGGAAAATAAAGTTACTGTATATTTTAAATAATTTATTTTATTTACTTTAGTTATTGCAATTTTGAATAATTCTGGTGTCTTTCTTAGTAGCCAAGATTTGATTTGAAACAAATGAAATGTCTTGGATGTAGTACCAACAATGTTATTATGGGACGCAGTTTTATTTCTTGAAAATATTTTTGCACGATGTCTACAGTATATCTTTCAAAATGCTGCTTTAGCCATTGTGCTTTTTGTTGTTCAAACCTTTTTCGTGCAAAATAACGAGTGTTTTGCTTCATGAAGCAGGAAATACCCGCGGTAAATATAGTCCTCTACGTAGCTCTATCTATATTTAGACATAATGAAGGTATTTAAATGTCCTTCTCTATATATAGGGAATAATTGCCAGTTTCTGCAACACCCTCTTTGAAGATTATTCTAAGTATGTTTTGAAAAAAAAAATTCAAATGAAAGTTGACAAAAACATTGGAAAAGTAGGTTAACAGAAAGTGGACACATGGTTTTATGTGATAATTTTGTGGAGAATTGGGTCTCGATCTAGTTCAACCAAATTATTGTCTTTCTGAGAATACCATCTATATTGGAATAAATATCTTTATAAAATGAAATTTTCAGCTCACCCAAGCACATCAAAAAATTCAAGAGTTGACAGATGGAAACATCATTTTGTGAGTAAAGAAGAGAAAAAATAATTGTCCACCGACCCTAACCTTTGTTGTTACCATGGCAATAGGCACTATTTCCTTTTTTGTGTGAAGAAGTTGCTATAATTTTGAGGAGGAGAAATTGCTAAATATAGATGGTATTCTGAAAATAGATAAACATGTAGCTTAAATTTGAAACAAAAATATTTCTTTTTTTGTTGATAAATTAAAATTTCAAATTATCAATTAAAAATATTGTCCTTTTTTTATAAAAATTTAGACCTGTGTGTGAGGTCTTACATGAACAGAAATTATGAAATATTTCTCCCCAAATTTGGCAACCATATTTGTGTCCCTAAAAGTCACTGTTGTGTTACCTGTGTTTACACCTGTTTACACCTGTGTGAATGACTTACCTGTATTTCAGGAGGACCTACTTCAACAGCCAGAAACCAAAAGGACCCGACCCCACAGGCCAGGACAAGTGAGGGACCGGGTCAGGGATCATTGTCATGCCGACCTCCTAGTCAGCTAATAATCAATTAGTTTAAACGATATTAATCTACCGATAGTGGTGCTAGGACTCAATATTTATATATTGTGTACTTAACATTATGAGTGGGAAACTGTTCACCATAATATTTAAATTACAAGGTATCATCTGTTTGTACTTTATGCTTTCATAAGTTTTCCAATTGACAGGAAATCATAGCAAACATATCCAGAGATTTAGAGAAAGAAAATTAACAGCAGGGTATTTTGTGTATCTCAACACTCTTAATAAGAGCTCATACATAGAAAATGTGGAGATACATGTATCAAGTAAATTTTAGCTCCATGCCTGAGCTCTCAAACTTTATAAAGGTGGTTTTCTCTCTGAAGATCTTATTGTTTACCTTTATCTTAGACACACAGATTTGAGCTTGTGATAATATCATAATCCATCCATATTTTTCAATATCTGTACCTATATGTTATATGGTTTTTATATACATGTTTATACAGTATTATAGTGTTGCATATAAGTTTAGTATTGAATTTGTTAGGTCTTTTGTTTTTGTAGCTGAATGTTTCTTGCTAGTACTTTAACATGTATTGTTTCTCTAAAATACATCTTGTGTATGTAGTCATTCATGTGATTTATACACATGTACATCTTAACAAATTTTGGGGAAAAAATCAAACCTTTTTTACATATTGAATAGACTTATCAACAAATCAAAGCTTTCCAATTTGACCACAAAACTCTAAGTGACAGAAGCACAGGCACTTTACGTTACTATTTTTCTTTTAATAAAAAAATATACTCCCTACCTAATAGTAAATGTTTATTATTAGGTAGGGGAAAGTTTGTTTTTAGAAAAATAAGTAACGTACGTCAAGTGCCTGTGAATATATTAACTTGGATGGTTCAGTAGAGGTCCCACAATATAACAAATACACCAGGATTATCTGCTCTTTGTGTGTGAATATGAATTATTTGTCTTAATATGTCATGAATCTCTTAAGCACCGGCTTACACATTCATGTTAACTGTTACATGTACTAAATGTCTTGAGAACTACCACATTCTAGAAGTGTGTAGCACATTTTATTTGTAATGTTTTGCAATATAATTTTATCCACTTTTACCAAAGCAAGGTTTTAAATCTGATCTGTGATAATAGTTTGACTGTGATCTTATGCAACTTACAATTCAATATTATTGTTATAGATTATAATTTTATAGTATTTTTATAATTGTTATATATTTAGCCTATTATAATAACACTTCCACTCAGTAATTGTTTTAGATCTTTACAAATGCCTGTAATACAAAATAATACTTTTTTTTTAACAAGAGAGTGCCTCAATAAATGTTGGTGCACAGCAGAGTGCCTCATTAACTGTGTGATAATTGCTGTTAATTATTGTAGAAGGGGGTACCTGGAGGCCTCAGCCCAACAACTGGAGGAGCAGGAGGGCTCTACCTGACGGTTAATGTCCTTAATGTCATGTCTGTCGGTCATAGATTGTTAAAAAATGTATGTATATAGAAGTAAAGATGGGCAATGGATTTCTGTCTGTCTCAAACACAGATGTCAGCTGTGATAATTTTATTAATGTGACTTGATGACAATTATTTTAAACACTGCTTTACATTTTGTATTTTATATATTTTTGCACTAAAATGCATTTTTGGTAGTTATTTTTTTTTAATAAAGGTAAAAATAAAATACAGAATTTTGTCAATTTTTATTATGTGAAACAAAGTAAAAATCTAAGCTTGAGACTCCATATTATAACATTTTTAAACAAAAATTTGAAATTTTTGGTTTAGGAATAAAAAAAATAACAAACAAGTTGATGAAACAAGAATATCAGAAATATCGTTTAAAGTCATCATATCGTAAGTTCTTTGGTCGATGCAATAACCTTGTCAACAAATACCATTGTGCTCTCTATCTTAAGAAATGTTTTTTCTTATGTGCTTTTATGCATTTCTAAAGCTATCTAGAGTGTACACTGGTATTCTTTATGGTTCTCAAATTCTTTCAGATACAGAAATTGGAAATGTATTTTTCCCATTCAAAACTTTATTTACTGAACTATATCATATCAAAGGCTACAGCCCAGGTGTAGAAGGGGTCAGTAATGTCTTTGAAATATATGGAGATAACAAACAATATTCAAGCTCAAAAGTCCATTTAATAATACAAAAAATTGTAGCAGAGCAAACAAACACCTCTAAAACATCAGAGGTGGGATCAGGTGCCATGGAGGTGTGAGCGTCCCCTGTCGACTGGTCACACCCGCCTAACCCTCCTTGTCATGATCGGGAAATAACGGAAAATCGATAATTCAGTGTGTAATAAAGTATGAAACAATTAGTATGAAAAACGTCAGCATATGAATTAATGATAAATTGTATTTGCTGACAAGGTCATTGTATCGACCATAGAACTTACGATATGATGACCTAAACGATATTCCTGATATTCTTGTTTCATCAACTTGTTTGTCAATAACTTACCTCGTTTTAGATATTTTTCATACCCATATGCTCTTGCGTATCGAAGCAACCAAGGGATATTTTAACCCCGTATGCGGACGATGAAGGTATTTTGCTGCATAAGTAAAGGAAATTGACGATTGAAAAGTTAATGTCATCTCGTATATCATAAAGACTGGTTGTTAGATTACCAATAAGGTCTTTCTCAAGTAAAATATCCAAATATGAAACAGATGTGTCAGACTCTATGGTATCTTTTATTTCAAGCTTATAGATGTATATCGTATCGACATCAGAATGGAAATAACCATTGTTAATTGACATTGCATCAATATAGTGAATATAATATTTTCTTATTGTTGAGTTGAAGGCCACAGCAAATGTTTTCTTTTTTCACGTAAGAGATTTGAACAAATTCTGCTTCATATGAATATAAAAATAGGCCTGCTTATAACGAGGCGCAATTGTACCCATGAAAACTGCAATACATTGTTAGAAACCTGGTCTCCAAAAATGACATATATTGTCAATCAGAAACTCGAGCATCTTTTAAATGTCAACTTCAGAGTGCTCGTGTGTATAATCCATATTTTTTACGGTTGAACGGTTGTGTATGAGGTTGATAAGTCGTAAGTTTTTGTTTTGTGAATTAAAAATTTTATGATTTCAAATTTTAAAATGATTCCTTGGAATTTATGAGTGTCCACATCTGATTTAGACCACTTCTCGAATATATTGTTGCCCAGTACTCTTGAAGTTTCTTCTTCACTGCTGTTTATATCTTAGTGTGGAGTAAAGAAAGAGGCTTGGTAGAACATTTACTGGAACCCGCTATGTGTCTTTGAAAGGATTTTTTATAAAGTTTTGGAATCTACTGAGTAATATGGAAATGGTAATTCAAATTCATTTGGTTGTTAGGGATATGGGATATTAAAAATATTAAAAACTGACATATGACTTTGGAGAATTATTTTCTCCTAATACTGATCGTGTAATCTATCCTATTCTTTTTTAATTTTTGAATTACTGAAGACAGAAGGATAGATGGTTTTTATTTTGTCCTTCAATCACTTATTGCGCGATTTTAACATGTATCTGATACATTTAATCCATTCTGACAACGTGTCAAAGTCTTCTTTTTCATGTTTTTCCATCGCCTGGCGTAAATCATCATATTTTTGAAATTTAAAAGATCGCGGTTCCCAAAATTTTGGCCCTTTTAAGATTAATGCTTTAAGGTCCTCATAATTCTCTAAAATATATTAGTCACTAGTAATAATGTGTACAACAGGATTATAGATGTAGGGTGAAGAAGAACAAAGGAAGGAGGATTATGTTTCAGATATTCGATATCCTGGCTCTGTAAAATTAGAAGCATTTGTAGAAAATACAAAGTGTAGTCTTCAATTTGAAATATCATGGAGTACAAAAGTGAAGACCAAGGACAGTTATGATGCTGACTTTCGATGGTATCAACCAGATTAAGTGTTTGGTAAGACAGAAGTGAATTTTTGGAGATTACAAACAGTTTTAAACTCAAAAGTCCATTTAAGCAATACAAAATAGGAGCAGAGCAAACACGGACCTCCAAAACATCAGAGGTGGGATCAGGTGCCATGGAGGAGTGAGCATCCCCTGCCGACCGGTCACACCCGCCGTGTGCTTCTTGTCATGATCGGGAAATGGCGGAAAATTCTTCGACAAATCAGTGTGTTAAGGTTCATAAACCCTCTGCTCACTTGTATGAAATTTTTCTTTAACTATTATGATTTTCGAAAGGAAATGTATATGCTGAATAAAATACAAACAATTGTATCATGGCTTGCGGGGTGACAAATATACAAAGGAATTATAGACATTTGTGTCATTAAGAGTTATCTCTCTTATCAGAGTATCAATGTACCTTAATAATGGCCTAGCAATTAGAATTTGATTAATCTAAACCCATTCCACCCTCAACACACGTTCATTAAAGCAACTCAACAAGATTGTCGATACATAAAGAATCTCTGATTTACAAAATTGAAGTGCATGTGACGCCATAGGCATGAAGGTTCGTTGACTTTGGTCACAATAGGTTTTTAGGGTTGCTTTGATTGTAAAGGTTTGTTCGTGGATCTATGTTTTCGATCGGTTTCATGTTGGGTTCTATGGCAACAGCACTCCACTGGATTTATGTTCCTAATACTATTTATAGAAAGAAGCCACGGATAAGAGAGGAAAACATGTCTAAAGTTTTGAATATCAGAGATGGAAAATCTGTTGTTATTATAGAAAAACTTTAAAAATATGTCCTTTAACGATAAATTTGAAATCATTTCATATTTTAGATATTTGTGGAGAACTAATGGCTATTTACTCCCTTGACATTATTTTCTAAATTTATTTTAATGATAGTTACATTAAAAATTTAGTGGAAGGGAAATAACAAAAATATCAATAATGAAAGTATGGCATTTGAAACACATGATTTCTTTTCACGGATATGCTACCTTGCACTATTTACTGCATACTATAGTAATACTGCATAATAGGGAGAAACATTTGGGATCTATCGGATGTAGAAAAATAATCCTTTGCTTCTCTTCTGGAAAGTATACACACTAGCAGTATGAATAAGTATATCAGTTATTCTAGCTGTAGCAACCAAGGGTTTTATCTTTTGTGTGTCTAAAACCTCGATACAAAGTAATGGAAGATAATAAAGTACAGGGTTTAGAATTTAAAGAAATTATGTTTTCTCAGATTTCTGCTGGTTCAAGTTTCTAGAATGTGAAAAAAATACTTGTTTCATTTTAAGTTATGTAAATAACCCTGAAAACTGTTCAGCAACTGCCAAAAGATAATTAAAACACGTTTGAAAAGGGTCAGAATATATGCATAATGACCTTAAACTCTTGAAGTAAAGTTTCGTAGTAAATAAAATTAAAGTATAAGTGGCATCATAAGTTAAAGGTACGCTATGAGTGTTACTGATTTATAAAAGTAAACATTCGTAAAATACTGTAATACAATATAATATAATTTACTATATCTTTGGCTAGAGATAAGCCCATACATACTCAATTAAATTTCCTCACACAAAAATTTTATTTTCGAAATGAAAAAAAGTGAAGTGTACAGACCAGTGAGTGTAATTGCAGTCATGCCATGGCCGAAGGTAAAAGAATATAAAGAAACACAATAGTCCATGGGTCTCATTGCTAACCTTAACACTGTGGCTAAAATAGAAGGCAAAAATCAATCCAGTATTAAAAAAAAACTTTGAAAAAGCTTAAATACAAAAAATGTTTTTACCTATAAGATTGGCCCAACCCTATCACCAGGGGTCATGATTTGAACGAATTTGAATCTACACTACCTGAGGATGATTCGGACGTAAAAATATGACCAATCATGGCTTTGTTGTTTATATAATAAATTAATTTACACATTCTTCTTTTTAAATTTTTTAAAAAAGTTGTGATAATGAATATTTACTGTACGTGTCACTATGTTTCACAAAACGAAAGTAGAGTCACGTTCCCCATGGCTTCGTCCAAAGAACAACAATTGGAAACAGAGAACGACACAATTAAATGTCCACTTTGCTTCGAACCATTCACAGAACCTAAACTACTGGATTGTTTACATACTTTTTGCAAGGAATGTCTTGAAAAGCTTTGTGAACACACTGGAGATCGAAAGATAATTTTGTGCCCTCTTTGTCGACATGAATATTCGATACCTAAAAATGGCATTGATGGGATCAAACATAACTACTATATGGAAATGCTGCTCAAAGAAAAAGAAGCTCTCTGTCAAGCATGCGAGAACGGCGACAAAGCGACAAAGCGATGTTTTGATTGCGACCAGAACCTTTGCCCAAATTGTTACAGGATTCACCAAAATTTGAAGACAACCAGGTCGCATCGAAGCGGTGATATTGGTAATGAAATCCAAGGAATGCAAACGCAGACTTTTTACTGCCCAAGGCATAGAAAAGAAGAACTTAAGTTTTTTTGTTGTCAGTGCGAGACTAATATATGTCGTGATTGTAAACTTACGAAACACGAAGGGCATAAAACAGAAGACTTAGATATCATTGCTGAAAATTCGAAGAAGGCATTGGACTCAAAACTGAAGAATTTGACCAACTTAAATGAAATGTTATTAACTACAAGAGAAGACTCTATGAAGGTACTAAAAGATCTTAATGGGAAACGAGATAATCTTATTCAGTCTATCAAAGAACAAACACAACATATTGTTGAGCGCATTAGAACGCTTGAAGGCAAATTGGTCAACGAAGTAGACACTCATTTTGAAAAAGAAAAATCGTTTCTGGAAGACAAACATTCTGCCATTGCTCAATCCACCGTTTCCCTAAAATGCCAGTGTGTCTATATTCAGCAAGTTCTGAAGCATGGGGTACTACCCGATGTAACACAAGCTAACGCTTCCTTACAGAACTTGAAAATGAAGGAACTCTGCAGTGAGCAATGCACAGTAAATTCCTATACTCTTCCAGTATTTGTTCCTTCTGGGTTCGAAGCTCAAACCCAAACTATCGGAAAGTTAAATTTTACATCAATCGATTTAACACTCCAGGAAACACTCCATTTTCAAAGCGATTGTCCCGTCAACAACGTGATTTCAGAAATATTTCCATCCCTGGATGGTACAAAATCCTGGATTTTATTTCAACACGTGAATAAATCACCAAAGCAATCCCAACAAATAGCGGGCGCTCTTTATTCAGAGGAAGGTAACTTGATGTCCGTAGTCAGAGGCAATATAACTCAGATATTATTTGTACCCTCAGGAGAGGAATTGCGATTTTCCAAAGCACCAATATGGATCTCTGTTGAAGAGAAAAAAGGAGAAAGCAAGTCACCCTTTTCTAAACCAGATCTCCGCTCTGTGACTTTGAGCAACAAGGGCGAGATCATGATACTTCTAACAGAAAACCGTGTGGAGACTTTGTCAAGCAGCGGTGAGACGTTAAATATTGTTGAACTGGAGTATGTCGTATCTGCTGATAGAATGGCACTTGGTGGAGATAAAGTGTACTGTTTAGACAGGTCAAAACAAAGTATTGCGTGTTTTACAAAGGATTTTGATTTTTTCCGATCTGTTGGTCCCTCTAAATCATATCTGGCTACTTTTGACCCAATATCCATTTGTTGCGATAGAAAAGGAAACGTTTTTGTATGTGATTACCAGAACGACCGCGTCTGTTGCCTTATTGGTTGGCAATTTATAACAGTTATCAGAGGAATCCAACGCCCTGTAGCAGTTGCTGCAGACAGCCGAGACAGACTCTGGGTCGGGAAGCAGAACGGAGAAATTGTAATTTACGAAATTAAGGAAAAACTCTAGACATCAGTATTAAATCAGTATTAAATCTCGAAAGTTGTTCTAGTAACATATTCTAGGGATATAAGAGTATGACATCATTAGTACAGAAAACATCTTTAAGAATTATACTTTTACTTAGAGTTTTAAAAAATACAAAATGATCAAAAATATACTTAGAGGTTTAAGTCACAGGTCAAAAGTTATTTTATTTAGAATCAACTCCTTTTTCAGCAAATCTACAACAGAAGCTCTTACAATAGTGAGCCACCCAAATGACTTTTTCCTAGTAAATATTCAAAATATGTAACATACTGTGGTATATTTTATTTCAAGTTCACTGGGATATATCGAGTCGATATATGCATATGATTCAAGTAATTATTGTTGTTTGAAAAACGTCGTCAAAATGTCGAGGTGAAGGTCATGGCAAGTGTTTTCTTCTTCTCGTGCATATGTTTTTGATAAATTCTGCTTCAGATAAATACCAAAATAGACCATCACATAATGGTTTGCAATTGGTATTCTTTGGAACTCCAATAGACTGGATGATTTTACCAAAATCAGCAGCCTAAAAACTTAGACTTTTCAACTTTATACACAACAATGGCCCTCATGATAAATTAAAGTCCAAGGTTTTTGTTATCATTGACAGCTGCTTTTTAAAAAAAATAGAACTCGTATTTTTATTACCTGTTCATTGGTCATTTGCAAAATTATTTTGTTAAAACACATTCTGATTGAACACACAAGTACTCTGAAGTTGACGTCAAAACAATGCTTGAGTTTCTGATATCTATGTGGTTTTTGGAGACCAGGTCTTCCAACAATCTTTTGGAATTCCCATAGAATTCGTGCAAAATCTTATGCGTGAAAAAAGGAAACACTTTCTGTGGCCTTTAACTCAACATTTAGATATATCGACGACGTATTGTCAATTAACAATGGGAATTTCCATTCCTATGTCGATACGATATATCCTGGTGAGCTTGAGATAAAAGATACAACAGAGTCTGACACACATGGTTTCTTGGATACTTTACTTGAAAATGTTAATGGTAATCTAAGAACCAGACTACATGATAAACGTGATGACTTTAACTTTTCTATCGTAAACTTACCTTACTTTTGCAGCAATATACCTTCATCACCTGCATACGGACTTTATATATCTCAGTTGATTCGATACGCAAGAGCATTTTCTACGTATGAACAATTTCTAAAACGAGGTAAATTATTCACAAACAAGTTGATGAAACAAGAATGTCAGCAGTCTAGTTAAAAGTCACCATTTCGTAAGTTCTATGGTCGATACAATGACTTTGTCAGCAAATACAATTTATCATTGATCGAGTCAAATGCTTACTGACGTTTTTCATACTAATTGTCAGTCCAGTGTTTATACACTGAATTGACGACGGATTTTTCCGTTATATCCCGATTATGACAAGGAGTAAACGGCGGGTGTGACCGGTCGGCAGGGGATGCTCACTCCTCCATGGCACCTGATTCCACCTCTGATATTTTGGAGGTTCTTGTTTGCTCTGCTCCTATTTTGTATTGTTTTATGGATTTTGATATTGAATATTGTATATCTCCATATCTTCATCCATATACAACGCAGACACTATCAACCAAAAACTCAGACATCCTTCCAACATCATCCCTGGAGTACCTGTATTCACAATTAACCAGAATGCTTTCCAACAAAACACATTTATAACTGTTATATAAAAAGGCTTACACAAATAAATCTTGCCCGATTTTTTATAAATTCAAGTTGGGTTTATTGAAGGAAAACAAGTTTTTAGGTGAGAAAAGTTCAGAAAACCCGTTAATTTGAATATTGTGTGGTCTTAATTTTTATCATGCAAAAATACATTGGTAACTCAGTACTGAGTATATATAGACCAAAAGTATGGCTATATCCTTCTATTCAATTTTTAAAAGACTTTTCAATATTACTGATAATTAAAAAAATAAAAACATTTAAAACAAAAATCATGAAGTGCCTACGCTGCCATAGGCATATGGAGCAGTCATTGCTCCATTTACCCATTAGCGGGTCAACACGTGCTCTTTACTTGTTTTGTACATGAGTGTAGATCATGTCATATATTTAGATCGACATCGTGTACACCACAGGTAATATCATAGGTGTATTACAATATGTAATATGTTTGTAGCCTTTCTTGCCGTACATGGCAGTAAGTAGCAACAATGGTTTATTTGACAGGCTTCCTCAAGCCCTATAGAGCACTATGGCATAGGCACTCCAGTCTTCAATCATTATCAGGAGTATATCAACATCTGAACGAAATCAGTTTGGGCAAGAGCAAATATAAACATTACATACTACAAAATCAATAATGATAACTTGCAATTATAGCTTTGTCCTGTTGGTTGATAAACTTATTTCTACTGTAGCAGATGTAGATTTAAATACTCGTAATATTTTAACCTGATATATTGAACGTTATTTTATAGAAAATAAAGTTTTTGTCAAATCGAAACTAAATGAATATATAAGGGAAATAAATCACGTTTTAAACTAATGATTGTATAAAATCAAACAGAAAGTAGAACTGTATTTTTTTAAGTGATTTAATTTACGATATAGCTCATTATAAAATTGTAAAATTTCGTTAAGAATATATTTTTAAAGAAATTCAACCTACAATCAGAAACAGATAAAAGTATTAAAGAAAAAACCCCCAACAAAATTGGACTTTTTTCGGACGCTTATAGAGGAATAATTTTGCTTGTGCATTGATTTCAAATTCCAGTATAAATTTACGATTTATATGATTTTACACTGAGGAGCTTTTTGTACCTAATGTCAAATGTTATTGCCATATTTCTGACTGACTCATTTCTATATTCTTAATGATATAGTTGGGGTTTCACTTGGGAAAATTTTTGGATTAAAAAAATTAAATGTATATCTAGAATGACAATCTTATAAATCAAGAGATCGAACTGCTGAAGTGAAAACTGGTCCTTTTGGATGAGACAGTATAAACCGAAGTCAAGTGTCGCAGTAGACGCTGACAAGAAAAGGATCCCTCAATGCTCAATGGCCCTTAGTGCCGAGTAGAGGTCTAAATTTGCAGTCGACTACGGGCCCCTCAATATAAGAAAAGAATTCGATTTCAAGACATATTTTTAATGACAAGGTCATTGCACAGATCATAGACGTAAGAAAATTACGACTTTACACCTGATATTCTTGCTTCATAAACTTGTTTGTATATAGCTTTCCTCGTTTTAGAAATTGTTCATATGTAGAGCATGTTCTTGCGTATCGAATCAACTGAGAAATAAAAACTCCGTATGCAGATAAGGTGTATTGTTCCAAAAATAAGGGAATTTGACGACTGAAAAGTTAAAGTCATCATGTTCTAAACCTTTGTCGATAGATTGTCATTATCGTATTTTCCCAATGAAATATTCAAACATGAAGCAGATGTGTCAAACTCTGTAGTATCTTTTATTTCAAGGAAACCGGGATATATCCTTTCGACATATATGAATGGAAATAACTATTCATAATACTAATGTTATTTGTCGTCGATATATGTACATTTAAATATCGAGCTGAAATCCACAGCAAGTGTTTCATTATTCTCAAGTATAAGATTTTGAATACATTCTGCTTCGATATGAATACAAAACTAGGTTTGCGAATAATTGAACACAGTTGGTTTCCATGGGTTTTCCAATAGATATTGCTATTAATACACAGAAATGTCGACGGATCTTTCCGTTATTTTCGGATCCTGACAAGGAGCACAAGGGATGACCGGTGTAACGACGAAAAGTGACCCCCGTAGACCAGGGGGTCATTTTTCTACGTAGAAAAATGACCCCAGGTCAATATTCTAGGACAAGTAGGGTCATTTTTCGACTGTAGAAAAACATTCCAGACCAGCAATGAACCCCATAGAAATTTGACCCCCTACTTTTTTATACTATAAAACCTTATATCGGAGTTTTTTGAAGAGACTTACTTTTACATTCGACAGGTGACTTTTACATTTTAAGTAATGGAGTCATCGTCGCAAACCACGGCAAAAAGTACGCTCCTCTCCTATTGCTATATATGCGGATTCCGGGCCGTGGCTTGAGACGATGTAATGGAGTTGGTCTATGTATAAATTGTTAAAGTCAGTCGTCGATTGTAAAAGTAAGTCTCTTCATAAAACTCCATCTGTGTCTCCTGATATTTTTTCATACTTTCAAATGTAAGTAAGGGATCTTTTCCAAGATATATTTGATTGCATATTTTAATAGTAGCATCACAATCAATGTATCTGGTTTGGATTTATTTTTGGCCTGCAGAATCCCAATTAAAAACTTCAAGAGTATACTGTGCAACAATATATTCAAGAAATAGTGTAAATCAGATGTGGATGCTCAAAAAATCCAAAGAACTTTTGGACAATTTGAAATCACAAGATTTTTCCTAAATCAACAGCTTAAAAACTTACAACTTTTCAAGTTTATACTCAACCATTTCCCACGATAGATTAAAGTCCAGGCTTTTATTATATCATTGACAGGTGCCTTTTCAATAAAAATGGACCTCTTAAATTAACTTAACAGGTTATCGGTCATTTGCAAAATTATTTTGTTAAAACACATTCTGATTGCACACACAAGTACTCTAAAGTTTACATCAAGAAGATGTTTGAGTTTCTGTTTAACAATATCGATGTGGTTCATGGAGACCAGGTCTTCCAACAATGTATTGAAATCCCTATGGGTACCAATTGCGCTCCGTTATTAGCAGACCTATTTTTGTATTCATATAAAACAGAATTTGTGCAACATCTTATGCGTGAAAAGAAGAAAACACTTGCTGTGGCCTTCAAATCGACTTTTAGATATATCGACAACGTATCGTCAATTAACAATGGTATTTCCATTCCTACGGCGATACGATATATCCTGGTGAACTTGAGATAAAAGATGCCACAGAGTCTGACACATCTGTTTTATACTTGGACATTTTACTTGAAACAGAAGTTAATAATAATCTAAAAACCAAGCTATATGATAAATGTTATGACTTTAACGTTTTTATCGTCAACCTTCCTTACTTATGCAGCAATATAGCTTCATCACCTGCATACGGAGTTCATATATCTCAGTTGATTCGAAACGCAAGGGCATGCTCTACGTATGAACAATTTCTAAAACGAGTTAAATTATTGACAAGCAAGTTGGTGAAACAAGAATATCAGCAATCTCGTTAAAAGTTATCATTTCGTAAGTTATATGGTTGATACAATGACAATGTCAGCAAATACAATTTATCATTGAGACAAATGCTGACTGACGTTTTTCATACAAATTGTTAGTCCATTATTTATACACTGAATTGACGACGAATTTTCCCGTTATTTCCTGATCATGACAAGGAGCACACGGCGGGTGTGACCGGTCAGCAAGGGAGGCTCACTCCTCCATGACTGGCACCTGATTCCACCTCTGATGTTTCGGATGTCCGTGTTTGCTCTGCTCCTATTTTGTATTGTTTTATAAACTTTG